GGGAAGAGAGAGACAAACCATAAAACAGATTCTTCACTATAGAGAACAAACTGATGGTTACTGGAGGGGAGGTGGGTAGGGGAATAGGATAAATGGGTGAGGGGGATTAAGGAATGCACTTGTGGTGAGCACTGAGTATTATATGTAAGTGATGAATCACTAAATTCTTCACCTGAAACTATTACACTGGAATTTATATAAAAACTTGAGAGAAAAAGAAAAACAATTTCAATTTCCATACAATTCAGTTAGATTTACTTTACTTATTGGCCACAGACTACGTTACTAATACATGTTTTGAAGAGGGGAATAATGCAAGCATCTATGGAAATCATTCCCATCAAAACCATGTGGTATTAGTATCAAATAGATGTTTGGAAACATAAGTCTGTTTAGGATTGTTAATGGGGCCATTATTATTAATTACCACCTTCTTTGCATATAGTTACTAAAGCTCAAGCAGTTGTTTATTGCACGTGTTCTGTTTATCCAGAAGAAAATGAAGGTGTTGTTAAGAAAGCACTGGAATTTCAAGACCATGGGATTAAAGTACAACCTTATAGGTAAGAAAGGAAAGGATTGCTCTGAACTCAAATATTCTGAGCATGAATGATTATGATTTTTAAGTTATTTAAAGACGTTCCACATCCTTCTTGTTATACTTTAACATGACCAAACAACCTAATTTCTTACAACTATAACAGATTCTGTAGTCTTTATGATGGATTGGCATGAGCATTCTCTTGTACTACTAAAAATTCTTTTTGTTGTTATCGTTGGTAAAGCTAAATGCATTTTGGCTTTGAGTTGATTGATTTCTGGATAATTGGGCCTGAACTTTATATCCCGAGTTATACATTTATGCCTCAGTGCAGTACAAGAAAAGTAAGTAAAATAAACTTAGAAAGGAGACAGAGGGGCACCTGGGTGGCTCAGTTGGTTAAGTGTCTGTCTCTTGATACTGGTTCAGGTCATGATCTTGTGGTCATGGACTCATGGTCATGATATCGAGACCTGCATAATCTGCACTGAGCATGAAGTCTGCCTGGGATTCTCTCTCTCTCCCCCTCTCTGTTTCTCTTTCGCTTGCACACACACACACTCTCTGTCAAAATAAGTTTAACAACTTCAAAAAAAAGAGGAAAAGCAAAACTATTTAATTGGATATTTATTACCTGAAAACACATTTCTAAGCTCCTTGTAGCCTTTGTCCCTCACAAGGACTGAGGTAAAAATAGCCTAACAATTCAGGTAGCTTCTGGGTAAAATGCTGCAATAAAATACAGGTAGAGAGGATAAGCAATAATATTCCATCTAAACTGTGGACATCAAAATAAGGAATAGATCTAAAAATATATGACACCTTGGGGCACCTGGGTGGCTCAGTTGTTTAAGCGTCCAACTCTTGGTTTTGGCTCAGGTCATGATGTCATGGTTGGTGACATTGAGACCCATGTTGGGTTCTGTGGAGCCTGCTTGGGATTCTCTCTCTCTCTCTCTCTCTCTCTCTCTCTCTCTCCCCCTTTCTGCCCCTTCCCTCTCTATCTCTCTCTCTCTCCCTCAAAATAAATAAATAAATAAACTTAAAAAAATAAAAGGGGGCGCCTGGGTGGCTCAGTCGGTTGACTTTGGCTCAGGTCATGATTTCACAGTTCGTGAGTTCGAGCCCTGCATCGGGCTCTGTGCTGACAGCTCAGAGCCTGGAGCCTGCTTCGGATTCTGTGTCTCCCTCTCTCTGCCCGTCCCCCACTCACACTCTGTCTCTCTCAAAAAATAAACATTAAAAAAAAAAAAGATGTCCGGTACTATGTTGAATAAAAGTGGTGAGAGTGACATTCTTGTCCTCTTTCTGACCTTAGGGTTAAGGCTCTCAGTTCCCCGTTGAGGATGACATTAGCTATGGGTTTTTCATATATGGCCTTTATTATGTTGAGGTGTTTTCCCTTTAAATCTTTGTTGAGGGTTTTTATCATGCATGGATATTGTACTTTGTCAAATGCTTTTTCTGCATCTGTTGAAATGATCTTATGGGTCTTATCCTTTTTCTTATTGATGTAATGTATTATGTTGATTATTTGCAAATAGTGAACCACCCTGGCAACGAAGGAATAAATCCCACTTCATTGCGGTGAATGATATTTTAAATGTATTGCTGGATTCAGTTTGCTAGTATTTTGTTGAGAATTTTTGCATCTATGTTCCTTAGAGATTAGCTCCTTTAAGTTTGTTATTAACTGTTTTATGTATTTGGGTGCTTTTATGTTGGGTGCATAATGTTTACAATTGTATCTTCTTGTTGGATTGCCCCCTCTGTTATTATATGGTGTCCTTCTTTGCCTCTTGTTATAGTCTTTGTTTTAAAGTCAATTTTGTCTGATAAAAGTATTGCTACTCTGGCTTTCTTTTTTTAAGTAATTTATTTTGAGAGACAGAGACAGAGACAGAAACAGAGTGAGCGGGAGACAGAGAATCCCAGGCAGGCTTTTTGCTGCCAGCGCAGATTCTGATATGGGGCTCAAACCCACGAACCATGAGATCATGAGCTGTGCCGAAACCAAGAGTCTGATGCTTAACTGCTTAACCAACTGAGCCACCCAGGTGCCCCGCCCCTCTGGCTTTCTTTTGACATCTGTTTGCGCCATAAATGTTTTTCTATCCCCTCACTTTCAATCTGCAGGTGTCTTTAGGTCTGAAATGGGTCTGTTGTAGGCAGCATATAGATGGGTCTGGTTTTTTATCCATTCTATCACCCTATGTCTTGTGATTGGAACGTTTTTTACATTCAAAGTAATTATTGATACATATGTCTTTACTGCCATTGTATTACTTGTTTTGTGGTTGTTTCTGAAGATTTTCTTGTTCTTGTCATTCTCTCTTTCATGGATTGCTGGTTTTCTTTAGTGATAATTTGGATTTCTATCTCTGTATTCTTTGCCTATTAGTGGTTTTTGATACTGTTAGGTTTGTGTATAACATCTTCTGCATGTAGCAGTCTATAGTAGGTTGATGGTTGTTTCAGTTTGAACCCTTTCTTTACTCCTGTCTTCCCCATGTTTCAGGCTTATGGCATCATACTTTACATCCTTCTATTTTGTGAGTTCCTTCACTGATTTTTTAAAGAAGTATTCATTTTTCCTGCGTTGGTGTTCCCTACCTTCATACTGTCATTATTGGCCTTTCCTTTCCATTCCAAGAGTCCTCTTTAATATTTCTTGCAGGACTGGTTTAATTGTCACAAATTCCTTTAGTTTTTGTTTGGGAAACTCTATCTCTCCTTTGGTTCTGAATTGCAGCCTTGCTGGATAGAGTATTCTTGGCTGCAGGTTTTTCCCATTCAGCACTCTGAGTATATCATGCCATTCCTTTCTGGCTTGGCAAGTTTCTGCAGAAAAAGCCATTAATAGCCTTACAGGGTTTCCTTTGTATGAAATTGTCTTGTCTTGCTGCTTTTAATATTGTTTTATCACTATATTTTACCATTTTAATTACAGTGTGTTGGTGGAGTGCCTGGCTGGCTCAGTCAACTCTTGATCTTGGGGTTGTAAGTTTGAGCCCTATGTTGGGTGTGGAGCCTACTTAAAACAATATTAATAATAAACAACAGTATGCCTTGGTGTGGTCCAGTGAGTATCCTTATGATCATTGCTTTAAATTCTCCATCAGGCTTGTTACTCTGTTTTACTTATATCTCCAGCTGTCACCTTCTCTTGTTCTTTCATTTGGGACAGATTCCTCTGTCTTCTCATTTTGTCTAAGTCTCTGTGCTTATTTCTCTGTGTTAGGAAAGTTAGCTACGTCTCCTGTTCTTGAGGGTAATAGCTTTATGAAGAAGAGGTCCTATAATGCCCTGCAGTGTAGGGTCCCCTTTCCCCCAGGGCCTGGCACTTCTGGGAGTGTCTCCAATGTGTTGTGTGTGCTCTGCTGTTGTATCCTGACTGCTTTATCCATCAGGCCAGTTATCTGCAGAGACTCTCTTTGCCTGTTGTGGGCAGTGTTTGGTTCCTGGCCTGAATATGGTGCATTTTAGTTAGGTGTGCTCTGATCTGCTTGGGAAATGAGACATATCTCCACTGTCACCAGAATTGAGGCCTCACCAAAACACCTGGGTCAGGAGATGCGGTGTCAGTAGGGGGTTTGGGCCAGTCTTCTAGAGGAGGGGGCCTACCACACTGAGATGGAGGCGAGCATGACTGGAAAGGGCAGTTCTTCCAGATGGCAAGGGGGCAGGGCTTGGTTTAAGCAAGTCAGGTAGCAAGTGTCCAGTGTTGGTGCCGTACTGGTACCTGCAGGTGGCCCTGTGCTCATGTTGAAGGGCTGCAGAGGGAAATGACACTGGCCAATGTCTTTGTTCCTGGAGGGGTCTCTCCATTGAATGCTACCTATCCAGGACAGGCTCCAAGATGAGCAAATAACCTCCTCGCTCTGTGGCCCAGGCACTCTTCAGATTGCTGTTTTTGCCTGCTTTCTCTCCAAGAGCAGCCCCAGTGTCCTCCAAGCCCTCCTTTAAAACTCCTCTAAAACTCCAGGCTCTAAGCCTTGCTGGTTAAAAGAACTCACAAAATTTAGGCCCTTTCACTTTCCAAGTCCACTGCTATGGGGATTTGTCTCTCCTGTACATTTCCGTGTGCTAGTTTGTCCCTCACCCTTCTCTGAGATTACAGCTCCCAACCCACTGCAGCACCATGATCCATTTCTCTCCCAAGCCAAATCTCCACACTTCCTACGTTGTAGCCTCTTCTCTGCCTTTGGTTGTGGAGTTTGTTCTGCCAGTTTTCAGATTGATTTCTGGAGTATTTAGGATGATTTGATAGGCACCTAATTGTATTCGTGGGACAAGGCAAGCCTAGGGGCCTCCTATTCCACTACCATCTTCCAAGAACCCCTATAGACCTGTATTTAAAGGGCTCATGTGATTAGGTCAGGTCCATCCTGATAACATGCATAGCTTAAGGTTAAGAGACCTTAATTACATCTGCAAAATTCCTTTTGCCATGTGTCTTATTTTCCTAGGCTCCCACAACAAACTATCCCAAACTTGGTGACTTATAGCAAGAGAAATTTATTCTCTCACAGTTCTGGAGACCAGAAGTCCGAATGAATGTCAGGTGTTGGCAGGGTTGGTTGGCTTCTGGGGCCTCTGAGGAAGAATCTGTTTTATGCCTCTCCCAGCTTCTGGTGTTCACTAGCAATCTTTAGTGCCCTTGGCCTGTAGCTGTGTCATTCTAACCTCTGTCTCTGTCTTCACATGGCCCTCTTCCCCTGTGTGTCTCTGTATCCTCTCTCCTTATAGGGACACCAATATTGGACTTAGGGTCTACTCTACTCCAGTATTACCTCCTCTTAAATATCTGCAAAGACACTATTTCCAAATAAGGGCACATTCTGGGTTTTGGGTGGACATGAATTTTGGGGAGGACACAATTCAGCCCCCAACGGTCCACTCTGCCCCCCCCAATTGATGTCTGTCTCATGTGTGAAATACATTCAACTCACCCCAATATCCTCAAGTCCTCACCCATTCCAGGATCAATTCTAAATCCAAAATCTCACCTAAATATCATCAACTGCATAAATCCCAAATGTCATCATCTAAGTCAGGTATCCACGAGACTGGATATGAACTTCCTTTATTATTCAGAGAAATGGCCTGTAACCTGGAGTTTAGAAATAAATTTGTTATGTAGGGGTAATTGTAAGGTAACTTAACCAATCTTAATTAGGATTATTACCATTAGCAAAGACAGCATATATAGCTAAAATATATCATATTTATTAAACACTAACTGAATACTTACTGTGTACCAGACACTCTTCTAGGTGCTAAGAATATATTAATAAATTAAAATTGACAAAATCCCAACCTTCATATTTACATTTTGGAACTAAGTATGTCCAACTTGTTAAGAAATCATTATTTTTCATAAGAATTTTTTTACCTTATGTGAACAAATTGTTTTTGGTGATTTCTATTTATGTAGAGCACATAAATAAATAGGCCTCAGAAATTCGGTTTGTTGGTTGCAAGGTTGGTGAGAGGAGGGACTAGCTCTCTTGCCTTTAGTACCTGCACAGCTATTATACTTCAGCTGAGTTCAGCATAAACCCTTATTTTTTTTTAAAAAAAAATTTTTTTTTTTCAACGTTTATTTATTTTTGGGACAGACAGAGACAGAGCATGAACGGGCGAGGGGCAGAGAGAGGGAGACACAGAATCGGAAACAGGCTCCAGGCTCTGAGCCATCAGCCCAGAGCCCGACGCGGGGCTCGAACTCACGGAGCGCGAGATCGTGACCTGGCTGAAGTCGGACGCTTAACCGACTGCGCCACCCAGGCGCCCCCAGCATAAACCCTTATTAAGCACCACCTTCTGTGCCACTTTTGGCATGTCATTTGAGGTCACGTGTCTGTCTGCATCCTAAGTGACCTCTGCATCCCTCTACTCACCTTATGTCCCAGCCACATGGAAATACTTGCTGCACCCTGAACATTTTTATGATACTTGTGTTTTTGTGTCCTCCTTTCTTTCTTTCGTTTCCTTCTTTCTGCCTAGAAATACCTTCTTTACCTTATGGGAAACTTATCCTTCAAGACACAGAACCAGTGGTTCTTCCTCTGTGGAGTCTCCACGTGCGCTATCCTGTGGCCAGAGTTAATTGGGCCTTATTCTGTATTACTACCTCATTTTGTCTCTCCTTGGCTCAGCATTCTTATTGGGTCTTCTTTATACTATTACAAACTGATTAGGGGGCGCCTGGGTGGCTCAGTCGGTTGGGCGTCTGACTTCGGCTCAGGTCATGTTCTCACGGTTCGTAGTTTGAGCCCCACGTCCGGCTCTGTGCTGACAGCTCGGAGCCTGGAGCCTGCTTCGGATTCCGTGTCTCCCTCTCTCTCTGCCCCTCCCCCACTTTCTCTCTCTCTCTCTCTCTCTCTCTCAAAAATAAACATTAAAAAAAATTTAATAAACTGATTAGTTTCTCCAACCAAATTGTAAACTATTGAGAATTAATTGATCTTTATATGCCTTGCACATAGTAGGCAAATAGTGAATGAATGAATATAAATTTAAAATGATTTTAAATCACTAAGTTCTGTACCTGAAACTAACATTACATTGTATGTTAACTGACTGGAATTTAAATAAAAACTTGAAAAAAATGGTTTTAAAAACTTTCAGAATATATAAAATTATTAATAAGAGTTCCTGATATTTTAACTTACATGGGAAAATATTTATTGCCTCGATTAAATATATTTTAATTGTAAAAGCATGGGAATATAAGAATTATTTATTATTTATTACTATTGAATGAGAAATTAAATAGTAAATATAAAAACCAAAATGTTACCTTACACATAATAGTGATTAGAGACCTTACACCAAGTCTTCTGTTATATGCTTTCTTGAGCACTACATAACTCATCCGTTAATACTCAAAAAGTAGTTGAGAAGAATAATGTAGTGAAAATGACGGGCCATATTTTTATATTGTAATTGTGCAAAAAGTAACCAGAGGAAGGAAGTCATACTTTTTGTATTTTGACATGTGAAAGTAAAGGATTTTTTTCTGTTCCACCTTTGTGATTACTCTATGTATTTACCGGTTTTGATAGAAGTCTTTTTGTTAACATACTATTGAGTTGGAAAAGAGTTTTTAATTTGTGGAAAGGCTGGTATTCTTGTCATAGTTGTTTAGAGATGGAAGCCTTGGCAAGCATGATAAATTCTGAACATGAAATATTAGAGCTTTTAATTTATAATAATATTATGATGCTTCAGCATTTTAGGCTTATTGGGAATTTTTGTTTAAATGATTAGAAAACGTAACAGAAGAAAAAATGTTGCAATCTAGTGTCTCTCTCGATTGGCAAATGAGCCATTCTAACTATTTCCTGTTTGCTCCTATCTCCTGCAGGCTTAGTCCTCCTGTCCTTCCACTGTGCTCCTTAAAGGAAATACATTTGTCTACTGATAAGTTTTTCAGAATGGAACCATCTGAAATTACCAATGGTTGTTTTCTTTCTGTTCTAACAAGGGAGGTAAGGGGGAAAATCCCAATCCATGTTATACTTTGTTAAGAATTAAGAAACAACAAAGCCTCATAAAGAGGAACCTAGGAATTTTGTGAACATTTTGTAATGGTGTGTTTATTTCATAAGTAGCTAAAAGACAGGAGAAAGAATTATTACTGTGTGACACAAAAATCCCTATTTTTTTTAAGTTTATGTTTTTAGTAAACTCTACACCCAGCGTGGAGCTCGAACCCACAACCCCGAGATCAAGAGTTGCACATTCTTCCGGCTGAGCTAGCCAGTGCACCCCAGTCCCTTTTTCTGTCTTTCTATTCCCCCTGAGGGTTCCTCCCTTGCCTGCTCTCCACCCCCACTTCTCCAAGCACTTTGCCACATCTAGTTCATCTTAGCTCACGTGGAAAAAATAAGCTCTGTAATTTTTTTTTTCTGTCAGATTTACAAATGGGGAAGTTTTGGGGCACCAGGGTGACTCAGTTAAGCGTCTGCCTTCAGCTCAGATCATGATTTCATGGTTCATGAATTTGAGTCCCACATCGGGCTGTCTGCTGTCTGCTGTCTGCAGAGCCTGCTTCAGATCCTCTGTCCCCCTCTCTCTTGCCCCTCCTCTGCTCTCTCTCTCTCTCAAAAATAAAAACTTAAAACAACAGCAACAAAAAACAAAACAAATGGGGAAGTGTAAGTCTAAAAAAAAGTCATTGACTGAGGTTTATGGGTTATATTAGGGACTCAAGCCTAAAAACCATTTCTTTTATAGTAATAGATGCACTTTTATTTTTACTGAAACACTGAGAAAATTTGTAATATACACAATAGTTAACTCCTACATTTAGTAACTGCTTCTTTTGATTGTAGCGGGACCCATCTGAGGCAGTGTCTGTGAAAGATGTTTTGGCCCGTGCTGCAGCAAAGGGTCTACTGGATGGAATTGAGTTGGGTAAAGCTTCAAAACGGGAGAAGAGGAAGAAGAAGAAATCAAAAATACCATTGTCAAAAGCCCCCACCAATGATAGTAATGACATCCAAATGAAAATTGCTGAATTCCTGAATCGAGAAAGTAATGCAAATGCTAATCGGTCAGAGACATTAGCAACAAAAACATCTCTTCCACAGAAAAATACAACTACAGCTGGTTCTTCCTCGCATGTCAGAAAACCCAACAAGCCCACCAGCAATCCTTCAGTGCCTACATTTATGAAGAACACAGCTCAACCCAGACCGTATGAACGGCAGACAAACTTCGTAAGATCTCGCCCAGAAGACAGAGTGATGGCACTGAAACCTGTAGAGATTGTTTTGCCTCCAGTAATGTTGCCATTTTCAGGTTCCCAAGGGATCAAATCTCAGATACCAACTCAACATTTTTACTATCGTTGGGTTGGACCCAACACTGTCCTGCCCAACTGCTTTCCCTCACCATCAACATCCAGAAGAGGGGAAAAGCCTAGAGAAAACTTACCTTCCTCCCTACTCAGGCATCCTCGACCATGGCTTTGACCATCTTGTGTTTTTTACAGGGGTCAAGAGCAGTTCATGTTTTTTCAAAGTCTGATATTTCTCTGAGGTTAGCCATCCCTATACAAGATACTCATCCTTTTGGCCACTTAGTATCTTCTAAAGGTGCTATTAACTTCAAGAGAATTAAGACAAGTGAGAAATAACAATGTAGGCACTTCAAAAGCAGAATTCCTACATTTCAACAGCTCGGTGCTGATCTGTTCTAGAATGTCCAGCTTAGACTCAGGATCAGCTGTTAGAACTTGTATCCCTCTTGTTAACTTTCAGTCTGGACTCAGGACACCAGTTTTAAGAGAAAGCTGCAACAATTTTTCCTGACGGGAAACACTGTCTGCCTTATAACAGACTTGAGGTGGTTTACTAGAGTGTAGATACGGAAAAGATGCTGGCCTCTCACACTGACTTTATGTTGCTTTTTCAGTATCCACCTGCGGTTTGACATTTTCAATCGCTGTGGAGGTTGATTTTTTTCTTAAATATCAAAATATTCTTTAAACGGTGGTTGGGGGGGGGGGTGTCATGAGTTTTTGTGATGTGATTGAGATTGAGTAGGAAGAACAGGAGGTTCCAAAGTTCCATGTGTGCATAGTTCAGAAGTACGTTAACAGAACAAAAACGGTTTCTCATCGAAAGAGCTTCTGGGATCCTGAGCAGACTGAACACAATCAGCTATCCCTTCTGCCAAATATGGTTGTAAAAAAGTGACTGTACACAAATTTCCATCCAAATAGTAATAATTCTGAGGAAGAGGCAAAACTGTTGACTACAAGTGACACCTGTTATTGAAGAAATCCATAAAAATGTCTGATTCTGTTCAAAGATCAGGTGAAATGCTAAAATCTACAAGTCATTTCAAATGGTACACAGTAATCAAACTGGTAAATCATCTCTGATGCACAACTAAAATATATTGTAGCACTACGTTAATTATATTAAAAGTCAATTCATCTTGAATGTATCATCCATTGCCTACCAAGAATTGGTATGATTATCATTTTGGGGTCTATTGATTTTTTTTTTCATCATGGAAACAAATTGACGTTTAATCAAGTAAGTTACAACTATGAAACCTATTGTTTAAAAACATGTTCATAGACACAACGTTTGAATATAAAGTTCCATTTTCAGAATCTAGTCGTGTTGAACAGTGTTATGTAAATTCCTAAATGTTCAATTCAGGTGGCATGATTTCAGTAGAGTATTATCTTCTTCAAGATGAATTTTTAGGTCTATTTCAGCCTAATACCCTATCCTTTATTTTCTCACTTGAAGTGATGCTAAACAAAATGGTGAATTTCATTTTATTGGTAATAAATCTTTATTTTAGCTAAAAATTTACATAGAATGTGTCAACGAAGAAAGGGAACAAGCCTTCATATACTTGGAAATTTCAATCCTCAAAGATTTCTCAATTATGACTCTCAGCAGGCCCAGAAGTGTTTTAAATGCTCAGCTTATTTTACTGACTGCAAAAATAAAAAACGATAGATTTCTTTGTTCCAAATATGGCTTCTCTCCTCTTGCTCTGGCTTGGAGCACTCCGTGCCCCGAGGGCACTAGTGCAGCTGCAGTGAACTTTGTTGGGTGAAGAGCTGGAGTGTTTTCCAGGGAATCGCTCATTCCCCCTGTGCTCTGCCGCTGCCCCAAGCTGCAAAGGATGCCACTGTCCATGAGTAGCAGGTCTCAGACCCTTATTTTCTGTGATGTTCTGAAAAGGAAACTCTCATTGTGAAGGAATAGTTCAGGCTGTTTTCTGAGAAGCTTGTGATTCGTGTCGCATCACAATGTAAGCCACTTATTTTCAGTATCTTACCTAACACGCTTGTCACTGTTCTCTTCAGAAATATATGGAGATTCTGAATGGTTCGTTAAGCCTGTAGTTTTCTTCTTTGAGAGTCTTCTGAGAAGGGCGTGATCAATTATTTAAGTACTTTTGTGGAGTAAAAAGGGAAAAATGCTTTGGATAAAGACAACATGAGGGATTGAGTGAAGGAGAACATTGATTACACGGACATTTTCCTTTCTTGAGCTTCTTACAGGGAAGTGCTGCAAAAATCTAAAATAGATTTGCTGGTATTTAGATTCTCCAATAGCAAATTTTATCTGAAATTACTTACCACTAGTATAATACCTGAAACCGAAATGAAATTTCGTTCCTCCACAGTAACTGCCTTTAATAGAGTAAAAGAGAAACCATGGGGCGGAAACGCAAGAGGAACCAGAAAAATGGGTACATACTCTACATTCTGCTTCTCTTCCCTGACAGTTGAACTAGCCCAGATTCAACTGGTTTTTCTGGCTACCTTTGCTTTTGGATTTAGTGCCTGTGCAACTTTATTCTTCATTCTTTGACGTCAGACTCTTAAAGGATACGAAAAATAGACTTTCTTAACACTAGACTGCTTACCCAGGCCTTGCGTTGGTGACTCAGGATGCCAGCGGTCCTTCCTGGTCACCAGATAAGAGCAGTGTGATGAACTAATTACTCAGAATTTAAAGTTACTTTCTCGTTCTTAACCAGGTGGAAACCTGCAATAGCAAAGCAGAATAATTTGAAAACAAAATGACTAGCGTGGCGACACTGAACTTGTATTTCCATTCCTGGATCTATAGGACTGAGATGTCAGATAAACGAGCCAGACGTTTTATGCAGCTAAGTTTATTCTCACAACATATTACATTTAAATGTGTCAAAGTGGTCAACAGCAAACGGGGCCGAAAGCAAAACCAAACGTTCTTTCAGGATAAACAAGCCGCTTCGGGTGGCAGGGAGTGCTCTCACTGATCGGGTGTGAGTGGAATCTTTTCTCTGAAGCTGAAATAAATTGAACTTCATTTTACTGGCTGTGTAACACACACGTCATCTGGGTAGTAGGTTAAGGAAGCCTGGCAAACTAGAGAGCTAATGGTTTTACTGGCTACATTGTGCTCGTCTCAGAGAGATGTTTTTCATGTTGTTTGTGAAATCTTGAATCTGTGTTGCAATGCTTAATGAAATGCGTGTGTCATACGAGAAAAGGAGGAAAGATTTAGGGCTTTCGAGTAGGTGACCTTGTGTGGAATCACCTTACCAATCTCTACTCCGTCCTGAGATCGGAGTGGCTCTTTGACAAAGTAGCGGTGCCAACAGTTTCTCACCAGGAACGAATTTTAGTGGAGATGGGTCTAATGTCCCCTCATGCAGTCAGACAGACACGAACGAAAAACAGTGGTCCTAATTAGCTACGGGTGGTCTTCTATCCAGGTGAACAGAGGGCTTGTGGGCACGGGTCTGTCGCCTAGAGGAGATGACAGGTGTTGGGAAGGACATAAACACACAGCCCCAAGCGGTGCTTTAGGTTTGCCACAGGCGTGTTGGCTCTTCCCCTTGAGGCTGCCAAGAGGCGCATATATGAGGTGGCCAGTCTGCGTCTATCTAGCTGCTTTTAAAAAATAAAAGGAACTTTAAGCATGTTGCCATTTCTTCTACATAGTCCAATAAAAATGTGTCTACAAATCATTACAAAACCACCTTTTCGGCAACGTATAGTTCACTGAGATTACTTAGGCCTGGATACCTTGTGAGATACTATCCAGTAAAGAGAATACATTAACACGATAATGCAGTATATTTCAGTAAAAATAGAATAAATAAAATAAAAATATCTTAAGCTGTATTTAACAGGTTAATTAAAAAAATGATAAGACATACAAGGCATAGTGAACATGGCTGCCTGTTTACCGAGTCACAGATACAAAGAATGCATAGATAACTGAATGTCACCACAATATCAGGTAAAACACCGGCATCCGCACACAGGAAAATACACACATACTTTCATACATACTTTTTGGCCATGGCAGAAAGTGTCTGAACGTACTGTTTAACATAATCAATTTTACAAAATTAATTGCATTTAGTATGCAAAGCTATTTTCAAAACAAAATATCTGCAGTAAAGTTTTCAATATGTAAAGGCTATCGTTCGTCTTAATGCATCCTATAATTGCATATATAAATCAGTTTGCTACTTAAAGCTAGCTCAGTATTCTTGATCCTGAAAACAAACAAATGTATGCCTTAGAAAATGAACGGTGGGTTCGGGTAGAGATTTCCAATATAAAAGTGGATGACCTGTTCAGAATTTTTATCACACTAAAACCTTTCATTGTGGAGCTCGAGATGAAACATCATCATGATTGAATTTTGCACAGCTTTTCAAAGGGCAGAGTAAGGACTTTCTTAATGCAATAATTTCTTATGATGGCACTGGTTACTTCAGATAGAATAGCATATAGGCTGGTGAGAAGTAGAATTCATTTCTAGAGTGGCATCATTTTGGTCATAACACCAGGGTGCTAGCAAACAGTTCCAGAGTTCTGAGGGAATAGCAGAAGGCCACCTGCTCCATCGTGTTCTCTGGTGGCTAAGTACCATGAGTTAGGAATGTGTCTATCACAAGTAACATCATCTCTGGAAAACCTTGTAAGTTGAACAGGCCGCACAGCGTGTAGAATCGTGTCCTCTACAACACATTTGAGGCACACTGCAGGAAAACAGTCCTGGACTGAGAGAGGGCGATGGTTTTATGATTAATATCACTGCGTAATTGGGACATATTTCCCGCCTTCTACAGGGAATTCTAAGATTTCCTGACAATAACTAGATATGCCCAGAGTAATTTTGGATAGACTCTTCCTCACCGATGTAAAAGCAGCGTAACTTATAACAGAGTTGGGAAGCGTGGGCTTTTGTCCCGGCTCTCTCACAAACTTTCGAGAGATCTTAGGCAAGGTGATTGAGCCTCTTGGTACTTTATATTTTTATTTCTCAAATGTGTTTAGTACCTTTCCCTACCTTGTAAGGCTCAAATTTGATAAGAATGTGGAAACCATTGACAAGTACACAGCAGTGGGTAAATAAAGTGCTCCTTTTAAAACCGGATGTTCTTAACGCATTCATTTTGACATTAAGAAGCAAATAAGACTAATATTTAGATTGGTCTCCTTAGCAACTTCCTTTTAAAACAACAATGTCAACAAGAGTCTAAATCTGAGTATCTTTGTAAGTACGTGAGAAACGTGAAGCAGGAAACTGCTATTTTGGGGAAACTTGTTAAGCAGTCCGTTGTTGCTATGTTTATTTTGCTCTGATAAGAAATTTTTAAATCTTGAAAAAATGGAAAAGATATAAATTTAAAAATATATCTAGTAAAGTCCAACAAATCCCAATATTAAATACATAAATTCAAAAGGTTCAAATTTAATGTAATTTGTTGCCATGGACAATACATGATGGACAGACAGCCTTCTGGGCAAAAAGCGTTAGGGTAAGACTGAGCTAGATACAGAATCCTAGTGGGTTTCACTAGGAGGCGGACTAACAAAATAATGTGGTGGTGGAGATCCAAAATATAAATGACATTTCCTCAACTCCAAATTGCATATTGGCTAATTAACAAACTAAGGATAAAAGGCGTACGAGGAAGATTTCATTTTAATGTTTATGTAGAGAATGGCCAGAGTGAACTATAATTCTCTAGCTGCATTGTACAATATAAGGCAGAAGTTTGAAACATGTCCTACCCGAAATGCATTAGGCTTTTCTTAAATCTTTCTTGTTTTTAATAATCAGTTTGAAAACCGTCTAGAAAGAAAGGCTCTTTTTTGTTCAATTTTAATTTCTCAAATTTGGTTTGTTTTTCAATTTTCAAGTTTCACTTTTTCCCCAACATCCCACAAAACAGCTGCAGACATGAAATGGTGTCCATGTGTCAAAGGGCTTGTCAAGGAAAGCTGCCGGTTGGTTTCTGTACTGATGCCAACAGCCAATTCTGTCAACCCAAAGGTTCAATTTCATGAAAGACTGCAACAAAAACCCATCATCCTAGTTTTACAGCAATTCAATGGTATCTGGTACGCAGTGGCTACTCCAATGTTGGCAACAGGGCCAAGTGCTGCAGGACTTAAACATTGCTTGTGACAGATCCAGTCAAGAAGACAGTGAAACTAACTCAGGCGTCATTCACTCCAAGGACTCAGCGTTAGTTCACTAGGAGGGGTGTGGCCACATTCTTCTCCGTGTGTGTGAAGTTAATGTTCACGATATTTACAATAAGAAAAAGACCTTCCACTGCTCATGATGTATCTTACTGATAGCAAAAAAAATTAGTCATGCTTCTTTTCATATCACATGATGGTGGCAAGACGAGAGAACATGCTTGTCTAACACTGTTTGGTTAAGGATAAATTCTCTGAAGACAAAGCATCAGCAACTGAATGGAAGGCCAGATATCAGTTCATCTTCTTTAGTGTAGCTATTCAATCTTCAGGTAAATATTACAGAATCCTGTAGCATATGCAGCTATGGCGTTTCTGTGACAGGGCGTTTCTGTTTCAAAGTGTCAATGAGGGATAAGACCCCTCGTTTTACATTGGTTGTGACTCTTCTGGTCACTGAGTCTGCTGGCGGAGGAGGTGGTCGAACTTTCTGTGAAGGCGGCCTGGCTACCAAGCACTTCTGGTATCGTAACTGAAATAAAACAAAAATGTTTTATGGTCGTTAATGATGTATCATCCTTTCTTGTTTAATTTATGATTTGATGACTTAATGCATCACCAATACATTTACTTGCAAAGCTTAACGACCTAGCTCCTACGCATTAATCCAAGAGTTTTTCTTTTTTTCCCCTTTTTAAAAAGTATTTATTTTGAGAGAATGTGTGCGTGAGAGCGCGGGAGGGGCAGAGAGGGAGAGAGAGAATCCCAAGCAGACTTGCGCTGCCAGTGCAGAGCCCAACGCAGAGCTCCATCTCATGAACCATGAGATCGTGACCTGAGCTGAAATCAAGGGTCGGACACTTAACCAACTGAGCCACCCAGGGGCCCTAAGTTTATTCTGTTTCCTTAATGTGGGTATTTTAAGGGTTCTTATGATCATTAGGCTCAGCAAAAGTGTTGTGGCTTTTGCCATCCTTTTCTTCCACCCATCTCCACCCTCTACTTGTTCTCTTTATGGATTGGCTGCAATTAATATGCCAAACAGTCGAAGAGCTAATGAAAAGGAAGAGGATTGGGAGAGACAGTATTAGGGTTTCGTCGGGAGACACGTACATCTTTGTACATGAGGTAAGTGCTCATGGCTACCTGGGAGACAACATGGGAGAAAGGGCACAGTTTGAATGTAGGTTCTACCATTTATGGGAACTGTGTGACCCAAGCAAGTTAATCTCTGAACCTTAGTTTCTTCAATGTAAAATGGCAGAAGACTGGGATCTTTACAGAGGGTGTTATGATTAGGGAAATACTTGCTGCATGCTGAAAACAGGCCTACCAATGCAGGGGGCGCTCACAAATGTTTGTTCCCCTTCCTGTTTCCTGCTTTAATAAAAAAGAATGATGTATAAAGAGTTTAGGATATATTTTATCCGCGAGTCTAAATCCTAATGGATTTAAAAATTTTAAGTAATCTCTACACCCCATGTGGGGCTCGAACTCACAACCCCAAGATCGAGAGTCACATGCTCCAACGACTGAGCCAGCCAGGCGCCCCTAAATCCTAATAGATTTTAAAGTATCCATTAGCACTGTTGGCACCATAGATAGTTTCTCTCCTTCCGAAATATAACACAATCCACCTAGTTTTCTATTAATGAAAAGTAATTCTTCAAAATTAGATAAGAAGGTTAAAATTTACAAAGTATGTTTTTTCCTAATCTAAGCACTTTAAAATGATACCATGGCTGATTTTTAAAAAGCTACTTAAATATTAATAGGTTCTTTGGTACAGTGTGAAACAGGTTGACGTTTCCCCATGGGAAGCATAAACTATCCACAGCAGAACTCCGAGTCACAAAGCCCAAAGGCCACAGAACTAGCCCCTTCAACCCCATCATACGAGAAACGATTTACCAAATCTCCTCTGCGTAAGGCAACTTGCCAGGTCTGCAACGCAACCCAAACCGCACACTTCCAAAGCACAGATTTATAAACGGGCAGGTGTGCAACACGGTACACTGGACCGGAAATCTCTAATGTTAGGCAAGTCCAGTCTGAATCAAAATCGCACCTGATGGGTTTCATTAAGGCTTCCTCTCTCATTCTAAATTTCACCAAAACATCTTCAGCGGGGCCTATGCCACTCAGCTGCAAAATATGCCTAAAAATTAGGTGGATTCAAAAGAATGTGTTTACAATACAGATATTTCAGGTGATAGAAATTCACGTGTAGAGATTTCGGATGGAGAGTCATGCAGATTTAATTCAAGAGGAAAGCCATGGAGTTAGAAATGCTGGACTCTGAGCGTAAAGAAGAGGCCGATGTCATCAGTATGACTCATGCTGGATTGGCTGAGCCACTTGAGCTGGCTGCCCTGTTATAATTAAAATTATAAGCACATGAATAAAAATTGTTCCTAAGACAGAAAATAAGTCTGGGAATCAGACAACAAACTGTAACCAGTGATAAAGCTAATTATTTAATTGTCACCAGCATTTAAAATGTACAATTACGGCTGACAGCCATTCATTTTATGACTAAAACCATCTGTTATGATCCCTTTTCAATTTCAGGAAATAACTAAATAGTCATCCTCCATTTTTGCTTGACTGAATGCTTTCATTTTCTATTGTCTCCTTCATCCCATCTCGGGCTCTTGTGCTGGGTCAGAGATTCGTCGTGACTCCTCCACCAGCTCTGCCCCCACCACCCCCACCCTGCCCCTTCACATGCAGGCAGATCTGAATTAGCCTCTGGCTCCGCAGTACTTGAGGGGAAAATGCACCTCTGACAAAGGACTGTGGGAAGAAGGATGCCAGATCATGAGCACACAGCACTAGCTCTTACCCTCCCTCTTCCCTCCGTCCCTCTCCATTCAAAGGTGCCTTTTAAGGGAAAAGTCAGCAGACTCCCTCTCCTCGTGACTCATCATTGCCAACTACAGCCCACCTCATCCTTTCCCTTCATTCTTAACCTTAGTGATGTACTGTATGTAGAAAAACAGAACTCTCCCAACCTCCATGCCACCTGTCACTCTTGGATTCTTAGCATCTGACTAGTCTCAAACTCACTGCGACCCAATCAGGAGGCTAAACCCCAACCCTAGGTTCTTAATCTACCACCAAGGCCTCGCCCCAACTCTTTATATGACCCTCATTTCAATCCACCTTCACCAGCTCATTTCCCTCAGCCGAAAAAATGTGCAAATCTCCCCCCGCCCCGCCCATCAAAAAACAAGCAGCAAACCCCCTTACTGTTGCGCTACCCCTTTCCTGTCAGACTTTGGTCTATTTTAAGGCCTCCACTTCTTTTTCCTCCAGGTCACTTTTCAGTCTAGTGTGGTGTTATACTTCTAGTTAGAGCATCTTTTACACTGCAACAGAATTTTGGCTTATGTGTCTCCTCATATACTTAAGCTCTGTAATGTAAGGCTCATCTCTCAGCCCTACTGGAACTTCCCAGAGTCCAGCCCACAAATGGTGGATTGAATTAAATGAAGAACAGGTGCTTCAAGTTCACCATTCCTCATCCCCAGCCAGGCAATTCTCTACAACATCCCAAGTCATCTACTCCTGCTTGTTCTCCTGGTTTAGACCCTCTGACACCCTCATGTGACCAGTAAAATGGCTTCTTGGCTGATCTCTCCACCTCAACCTTATCCTCTCAACCCATCCTCTACCTTTGGTGGGTTTTGTTTTTGTTTTGAGTTTGCTTTTAAAACCTAATACCAATTCATCTCTCTTGCTTAATAATCTTTGCTGAAGATAAACACGTTGCCATGATATCACAGGCTTTTTATCATACAGACCTGACCTCCTTTGCTTGACTCCAGCAACCGAACCTGCTGTTGCTAAGAATCACCATCCACCTCAGGTTTTGGTGCCTACATTCATACTGTTCCCTCAAATTTTCTAGAACTTTTTCAGCGTCCAGCACAATAGGTGCTCAAAGGATATTTGCAGAATGAATGATGTGGTGTTTTTGTTTGATATCATATACATGGTGCAAAGAGAACTGGCTGTGTCACCTCAAAAACTCGGGGTTGCGGGGCGCCTACTTGGCTCAGTCGGTTGAGCGGCCGACTTCAGCTCAGGTCATGATCTCCCAGTTGGTGTGTTCGAGCCCCACTTCGGGCTCTGTGCTGACAGCTCAGAGCCTGGAGCCTACTTTGGATTCTTTGTCTCCCTCTCTCTGTGCCCTTCCCTGCTTGCACTCTTTCTCTCAAAAATAAATAAACATTAAAAAACAAACAAAAAACCCCCCAAAACTTGGGGTTGAACACAGGCTTTGTCTTGTCAACTCTGTGCCCTGAGGCCCGCTCTTTCTTCTGAGCCTCTGTTCTGTCATAAAGAAAACAGAACAACTACCTTACAAATGGCTGTTTTAAGGATTAAGTTCACAGATATAAATTAAATAAAATATGTAAGAACGGTGGGCTTAAACCAACTATCTGAAATAAAAATCATTCAATACACTGCAATTTTTTTAAGTACCAAGTTCGTTCTAAATAGCACCAATTCATACATGACCAACATTTCCTGATCACCTATTGAAATTAATTAGAGATCAAGAATTAAGAATGTGTGGTTTTGAAGATCACTGCTTTCAGTGATACTGGAAATCTCCACAGAACGTCGCTCCGCCCAGTCCCGCTTCTTGTAGGCGTCCTGGCCTCTTGAGATGGTAAACCGCTCATCGTGACTGTGTCCACAGGAATGAGGGTGTTATACAGCAAAACATCACTTTAGAGATTAGACATATTTTCCTTTATATTAGTAACTCTGTGCTAATTTATCGCATACGAGACAAGAGCAGTGGTGCGGGAGGTCCAACAGCTCCCTGGCGTGTGACTACTCACCATGCAGGCGGCCTGTACCGCCTCAGACACGTTACCCGCATTAGGCTCGCACCAGAAAACGTGGCACTCGAAACGCTGGTTCCCGGTGTCCATGATGAAGGCAAATGTATGAACATCCTTCCCGACGCCCATGAAGGACAGGAATCGCACACGGCACTCCACTAAGATTTCCTCTTCATTCTGCAAGACACATTGGTCAGCGCCCACTCTCTCTGTGAAGCCAGGCAAGAGTTATAAAATAAACATATTCATTTCTTAGATCATAGAATCAAGACTGGAGTGGCCGTGTAGAGACACTGGTGTTAAAAATACATAGCTCGACTGGATTTAGAAAGGACTGTTTTCCTAGAAAGGCGAGTTTCTAAATACGTCCGCAGCAGCCATCATTGCTATGTGGGCGTCTCACTGACATTTAATCCCGCTCTGAGCTACACTCTCCGTGGCAGGCGTGTTCTGTTGCTGTTGGTCCTCTAGGCTCCAAGCCTGCGTGTTCACCGTGGGTAGGAACCCTGCCATGTATACTATACTTCTTTGGTTTTGCCCATACAGGGCACCCAGTGGCTCAAAACCCATTTGCCCAAGTGAACTCGCTGGAAACCTCAGAGCAACGAAGAGAAAAGGAGCCATGGGATGGCTTTCCATCCAGTTCTCCTTCCCATGCTAAATACCACGTGGAATCATATTTCTATCTAAAACTGTGTACGAAAGCTGCCAAATCACTTTGTTCCCCACAAACCGGTCCCCATATGGTATCCATATGATGCAGTGTAAAGAAATGTTCGGAATTCATTCTTACGAACACCACATCCTTTGCAACAACCATATGTAGTTTGTGAATTAGTAAACACATCCAGAATGTTGACTTCTGGATCATTAACATCTTGACTTACTAAATATTCACTCAGGTGCTATGGAATTCCTTAACAGGCAAATGAAACTAGCCTGAGACGCCATGAAGTTTTCTTGGGAGAGACGATGTTTAGGTTGAGATCCCAGTAAATGTTGGGTAGGCAAACACGTGGAGCACAGAAGTGCTTGTAGATGCTGAGGCAGAAAAGGGTATGACATGTTTCAAGACTTAAGGAAATCCAGCCTGGCAGGCTGGAGAGGCAGGCAGGGTCAGTGAGCATCTTACTCCTAACTCCTTTTGAGAAGGTGAATTGGGCTTGAAGGTGACCTCCTAGTGGACAGAATCAGGAGCAGGCCAACAACCTGCGGTCTTTCCGTGGCAGGTGCTTCACAGTGGTGGAACTGAAAAGTGGTAAAGAGTCTGGAGCAGACTGCCTAGATCAAGTCCTGAGCTTGCCACTTCTAGCTGTTGTGACCACGGGCAATTATTTAACCTCGCCGTGCCTCAGTTTCATCAACCATAAAATTGGGATAATTTGGTTCGAGGCTAATGCTGGCCTCTCTGGATGACCACCGGCCTCTGCTACTATTGACAGAACAAACCAAAGACCCTCCACGACAGAAGCATCTCCTGTGCCCCAGCTCCAGACAAATAGCCCAGGTAATCTTGAAGCCTGGAGAGCAGCCAAAAAACCACTCCCCGTAATGAGTTACTGCTAGCGTCATAGTTACCTCTGGCAAATGATTTTAATCTCTTGGGCCCATGAGGAAGAAAGAATGGGGAACACCAGGACAGGAGCTTCTTGGTTCAGAGGAGAGCAAAGTTATGCAGAGATCCAGACACAAAGGACAAAAAATTGTTTTATAAATGCAGGCTATTTTAATTACAAGTAAGCATAACTCCCTGGAGGTGAAGCCTTGGCTATGTGTCTAAGTTTCATGGAAGATTACTGTATCCAGAGTTTCACTGTAACCCAGACAGACCAACTGCATCTACGATCCTTCTTACCTTTTCACTGATGACAGTCACAGTAGCATCGGCCACATTCATGTTCACTGACGGCCAATCCTCCTTGTTAGATGAGGTCATAAGACTTTCTATGGCATTGTTCAGGGTATCCATTCCTGTGGATGGAACAGATAATTGAAAAAGGTCCTAAAGCCACTTATCACTCTCCAATGTGGGCCCAGATCACCCAGTAACAGCTACACCCAAAGTGATCTTTTTTTTTTTTTAATTTTTTTTTTTTTTAACGTTTATTTATTTTTGGGACAGAGAGAGACAGAGCATGAACGGGGGAGGGGCAGAGAGAGAGGGAGACACAGAATCGGAAACAGGCTCCAGGCTCCGAGCCATCAGCCCAGAGCCTGACGCGGGGCTCGAACTCACGGACCGCGAGATCATGACCTGAGCTGAAGTCGGACGCTTAACCGACTGCGGCACCCAGGCGCCACCCCCCCCTTTTTTTTTTTAATAGTTCCAGGAGACATTCTATTTGAGCATTTCATTGCTTGGGGGAAAAAAAAAGCCAGCTTTCTCAATAGAAAGGAGGGTCATGAGAGCCTCCAGAGATGTGCAGTGTGTGATGTCCTGTCTAACTGGACCATGGTACTACTTTCTCTCCAAAGATTCCCCAGCCCCAAGTATATAAATAACACTGAAGCAAATGCTACCTTTTCCTAAGCAAGGAGGCTGGGAAAAAGGAACTGAACAGAAGCCAGCAACTGCCAGAATACTCCGATCTTCCTCCACCTTACTCTGCTACTTGAACAAGGCCAAGTTTGGAAGGCCCTGTACGTGAATAGAATGCACTATACCAGGGGGCCCTTTCGCTGAGTGTTCCCACACCCGTTTTTTTGTGGCAGTGTGAGGGGGTAGGTCAGATAACAACTTTATTGAGATATAATTCATCTATAATTCACTCGCTTAAAGTGTACAACGCACTAGTTTTTAGTAAATTCACAGAGGTGTGTAATCATCATCACAATGAATTTTAGAACATGTTCATTTCCTCAAAAAGGAACCCTGTACATTTTTGGGGTCACCATCCATTTCTTTCCAGACCCCTAGTTCTAGGCAATTACTTACTTAATTTAATTTCTATCCCAAGAGATTTGTCTCTTCTGGACATTTCATATACATGGAATCACACAGTATGTGTGATTTGTAACTGGCTTCTTTCATTTAGCATATGGTCTTTGTGGTTCATCCACGTTGTAGCATTTATCAGTACTTCATTCCTTTTTTTTTTTTAGTACTTCATTCCTTTTTTTTTTTTAATTTTTTTTTTAGTCCTTCATTCCTTATTTATTTATTTATTTATTTTAGTACTTCATTCCTTTTTACTGCCAAATAAAATTCCACTGTATGGTAGCATCACATCTCATGAATCCATTTGTTAGTTGAGGGACATTTGTTTCTACTTTGTGACTATTACGAATGCTGCTACTGTGAATGTGTGTGTGGACAGATGTTTTCATTTCACTTGGGTATGTGCCCAGGAGCACAACTGCTGAGTCAAATGGTAACTCTGTGAACTCTGGAGGAAGTGCCAGACTGTTTTCCCAAGTGGCTGTACCACCTTACTTTCCCCCCCCCGAGCAGTGCATGAGGGTTCAGGTTTCTCCACAGCCTTTTCCGCCCAGGAAAAGGGCACATCTCCCCGCCTCCTTTCAGCTCGGTATGGCTAAGCAACGAAGTTCTGCCCCCGGGGTGGGAGCTGACTGCCGTGTGTGCTGCTCTTGGATCACACCTTGGAAGGAAAAGCATGAGGGCTCCCTCAGCCCTTTTTCCCCGCCCAGGGGCCAACGAGGACTGAAGCAGAGATGGCCCCAGGGATGGAAGGCCCACTTGAGAAGGGCAGAGCCCTGGCTCATGCATCTCTGGCCTGCTGGGTGCACCAGAACTATGTGTCTGCCTTGTTGAAGTCCTTGTATTCTGGGGACCACATGACGAGCAGCTTATTAGCCTGCCCTCTTTTGCTCTTTTGATTGGGACTGTTCATGTGCTGTGGCTGGTGACAGTGCCAGGGCCTAATTCAAGCCTAGGAAAGGAAGCAGAACAGTAGATCGCACCCGTTGGGGAGGGTGGACACCTCCCCCGAGCTCCCGAACACTTGCACAGTGAAAGGACATAAATGTTTCACATACCGACGGGTTTGTCTACGGGTAACATGCCCAAGTACTGCACGTGGAACTTCTGGACCAGCTCAGTCTTTGGTGTTGGAAAATCTACTACAGGGAACAAAAGCAACAGATCTTTGTCAGTGGTTCCAACGTACACATAAAACACAGCCACCACCTGTGCCACAACAGCCTGTTTCTAGAGGGAGAAGCGGCGCACCTGCTCTGGGAGAACAGCGGGTCTTCCGCCACACACAGGGGCTCTGTCAATCAAAACCCCATTCAACTTTCGTTTCTCAGCAGGGAAGCAGAAACAGTTAGTTCTTGGTGTCTTAAAGCTGCTACTGTCCTTTTCATGCTAAATAACAGTTGTTGATGTCCTATTTGTTAGGTGGTCGATGCCCAGAGAGAATTTAATCACAAGGGGCACAGAGACAGGAAAAATAACTAAACAGAATCCCCCCAAATATCAATATATATATTTTTATTTTATTGAGGTATAATTGACACACAACATTATGTTAGTTTCAGGTGTCTAACACAGTAACTTGATACTTGTATACATTGCAAAACCATTACCATAAGTCTACTTAACATTCATCATCACAGTTACAAAAAAAATTTTTTTCACATCAACCCACATATTTTTAAGCTAGCTGGTTCTTATCCCAGGCTGTACAGGAGTTATAAAATCACTAAAGACAATATTCTTTAATCTTGTCCTTTTTCGTAGCAATAAAACTCATCCTGGCCTTTTGTGCCTAACCCTATTGACACAAAATGAACTCTGCGCACAGGAGGTTCCCTGGGGCTGGTTCAGTGTGTGTTTGTTGGGTTGAGCATGGTTTTTAAGGACACTAGAAACGGCCGGGAGCCCTGTGAGACCTTCTGGCTCTTGACTAGGATGGACAGCACCATCGTGAAGACAGCAGATGCACTGACCTACCTTGCAAGGGAACGTCGAGATTCACATTGGTTCTTTCCTGTAAGGAACTGCAGGCCAGGGCTTTGGCATTCTTCCGTTCGGCCATAATCTGAAGGGGGGAGAAACACACTGTGGTTTGTGGTTACAGACGCCCTGCCTGCAGCTATTCCAGCCAGTAAAGGGTCTGAGTGGACTTTGCTTCCAAGCTAAGCTGGCTTTACGTACAGTCTACTGCCTGACTTCCCACCCCGGTACTGCACACATGGAGAACTGCTCATTTTCCCCAGGGGTAACCGGTGAACGACTAGCCCTCAGAGCCCCCTGATTGTTTGGAACTCATTCCTCCACTCACCTGGCTCCTACCTCTAGTGAGACAACCCAAACAAATATCCTCTGCTGGCCCACTGCGGTCAGTGAGACACGCACAGTAACGGACTTTTCCCACTGCTTCTGAATGCTGGCTGTTAGGTACCCTTTTCCGGGCCCTGGGGACAGCGAATGAGTTCAAATCCCACCTTCGCTACTTACTAGCTGTGTGATCTTGGGCGAGTCACCTGGCCTCTTGTGTCTCATTTCCCCTTTGCACGTTTATGTCCCCAGTGATAAGGTTATGTCAGTTCTGTCAGCGCTCAGCAATATTAGCTGCTATCGATAGGGGTTGTTATTCTTAAACTGTTCAATCTGTCAGCTGCCTACCACACTGGTTCTCTTCTGCTGGAGGCACTGACATCTCCTTTACTGAAAAGTCATCACTTCTCACTTCTGTTTACACAGTGCTGGTGTGGCTTAGGAGCCCAACCTTTGATGACCCAAAAGGTGACTCACACCTTCATTCCCAGCCCAAGCTTTCTGAAAATTCCAGACAGAACGAAAGTCACTTCTTCTCCAGAGCCTCCACTCCACCCTTGTCTCGGCCTGCGCCTGGGACAGCAGGCAAGGAGGCGGCTGAGTTTAACAACATCAAATTTTAACTGAGCACGTCCTCTGTGCCAGGCCGTGTTCTGGGGGCCTTACGCTCCCCAAGGACAAAGATTTTTCTTTTCTGTTTTAGTCTCTGCTGTGTTCTTAGAACAGTCCCTGGCACGTAAATAGTGTTCAGCGGTGCCTGTTGCAGAAATGGAGGAAGAAAATGGCACCTGGGGAGTGTGCTGTAATGCTGTAACAGGTGCAGCCGGGCCCAGGCTTGTTGATGCACCAGTGTGAATCTGGGCTGGGATAAACAGTGGTCTCGGGACCAGCACCCATCCTGTAAGTCCTGGTCACCTGCATCAGAGCAGCCGACTGGTCCCAGCTCCTACCCCTCCCTGAGGAAATGTGGCTGGCACCTGCTTTGTCCCTGCTGCCCAGCAGTGGCTCCAGCCTGGGCGTGGCTAGCTCAGAGGAGCTGTAATGAGGCTGGGTCTTGACATTCGCCTCAAACCAGAAAGGTGACATCCAGCAGAGGTGATGGTGAGGTCTGGTGTTTAGATTCAGTAAGTAAGTTTGGGGAGTAGAAAGGCCTGCCTGAAGGGCATCTGTGACAGTGTCCTGGGGACCTGGCTAATCACTATCTGAACACAAGATGGCAGGTGATATGGTTGCTAAAAATATCAATCACCCCAGTATTGCATCTTTGGAGGTCAAGGGACAGAGTGGCCCATGGTCTTTTCTCTACTGGCTCACCCTTAGAACACTGTGTTCATTCAGGGGGAACCAACTACAGTACGCTCAGAAGCAGGTGAGGGGCCTGGTAACCATGTGACCCAAAAGAGATGGGGGTGGGGGTTCTGGAGAAATGAGGGAGACAGGACAGATATTTGTCCAGCACTTCTAAATGTACAGGTACAGTTCACAGCTTCAAATGTTTTAAGTAATAAAGGGCTGCCCAGCAAACAGACAAGATGGAGGCATCTTTCCCTGTTGCTACAGATTTCACATCTCAAGTAAATACGCGGAAGTTCTATAGAAGAGGACTTCAGGTCTACACAAGAAAGAACTCTGTAACAGTCAGCGCTGCTCATTTTAATAGAACAGCCTCCTGAAAAGTAGGGGGCCCTGTGGATGGAGGTCAAAGGAGGGACCAGGCAGAGGGTGGGGATGTTTCTAGCAGGACTTCTCTGCTGGAGGGAAGGAAGGCTAGTCCCGAGATGCCCGACTGTCTGTCCTCATTCTGAGGCTCTGTGACTCTGGTTAAGGAAGCAGGACCTCCCCAGTGTGAGACACTGACCACAGCCCTGCCTCACAGCCGGTCAGTTTCCATGAGCAGCTATGTGTCCTCCTGGAGTCAGTGTGGGTTCACGGCAACTCCGGCTGCCTGCATTTGCACAGACACCCTCCCTTCTCCCTGTGTTTACTCTCAGATCAGGGGGCCCTGTCTCTGGAAAATCTGCCCTGACTCCTTTCCCCCTTTTCCCAGTTAGGCTCGGGGTACCCATCTCTACCACCTGGCCCGTCACTGTTCTGCCCACCTACCATATCCTCCAAACTGTGGGAGGGTCAAAGGCTCTGCTCATTTTGTGGGTGGAGAGCCATTGAGAGCACCACCTGAAATGCAGGAGTACTTTTCCTGGGCTAAATACATGGTCTGCTCGCTTCTCCCTGAATGCAATGCACAGGTCGGCAAGCCCCCTGCCCCTGCCCTTTCACGGCCCCTTCCCTGCTCAGGCAGTGAGAAAAAAGAGACAGACTGACCACAGTGTCCTGACCTGCCTTACCTTGGAACAGATTTCGTGGAGACTTGTGGCGATGGCTTTTGCTGGTGTGTCACATCGAAATACATGACATTTCAAAATTCGCGTATCTTTGTCTCTTGCTACGTAAGCAAAATCTCTGTGCAAACAAAATTTATCAGTATGTTAGAAAAGGAAACTTTACCAACACACTCTCTAGTGACGAATGTTAGCTGAGCAAGGAGCCGGTATGTCAGTGGTAAACAGAGTATGCGAGGGCTAAAAACAAAACGTAAACTTCAGTAGCTACCCCAAAATGGAGGAGCAGTTTCATGGATTTAAGAATTCATTTCTGGGGCGCTTGGGGGGCTCAGTCGGTTAAGCATCCGACTTCGGCTCAGGTCATGATCTCGCCATTTGTTGAGTTCAGGCCCCACGTCAGGCTCTGTGCTGACAGAGCCTGGAGCCTGCTTCGGATTCTGTGTTCCCCTCTCTCTTAAAAATAAACATTAAGGGGCGCCTGGGTGGCGCAGTCGGTTAAGCGTCCGACTTCAGCCAGGTCGCGATCTCGCTGGTCCCTGAGTTGAGCCCGCGTCAGGCTCTGGGCTGTTGCTCAGAGCCCTGGAGCCTGTTTCGATTCTGTGTCTCCTCTCTCTCCCTCCCCCGTTCATGCTCTGTCTCTCTGTCCCAAAAATAAATAAACGTTGAAAAAAAAAAAAAAAAAAGAAAAATAAACATTAAAAAAAAAAAAGTTTTTTAAAGAATTCATTTCTGAGTAAAAGAACTACAGTGTTTCCCAAAGTTAGTGTGCTGAACTCCTGGAAACTCTTACAGCCCTTAATGAAAAACTGAATTCTTGATGAACTTTCTCTCTAGTGTAACAACAAATACCATGATTATAAAAGAGAAAAGGGGCTTGAGAAGAGCATGAATGTGCATGAGCGCTATTATGACAAACGCAGCGGTACAGCCGAGGCAGAACAATAGGGGCTGATGGGTAAACACGTGCACGGAGAACGCGTCGGACCCACAGCTGCAGGAGAAAGCGGACGGGCAGTCACGGGCTGGGCTGTGACACAAGGAGACACCGCAGACTGAAATCCCGTCAAAGGCGTTTGATTCTTTTAAGCGCGGCTCCCACTCCAGAGCTCGGGGTGACGGCGGCAGCATGGCACTCTATATCGTCAGCCCAGCCACCTCGGTGGGCGTGCAGCTGGTGCTGCGTGTTAGCATCTGTTCTGCTGATGAAAAGGATATCGACTGTGGCAAGACCTGGCTTCAAAAGAACCCGGCCGAACAACCAACCGTACAACTAAATTTCTTACTGTTCGTACTGGAGGACAGTGGTTTAAAGATCGAAGTGTTTAAGAACAATACACGCCCAGATTTACCCCGTCTGGATCACAACGCGTTCTTTGTGTTTGTTGCTTAAGCCAGGATACTGTCTGTAAATGTAACCACACATGGATTTATTTTTAATGGTTCCTCTTAATAAAAGAACTGGTGGTCTTTTCACAGACCATGACGGCCGCTTTCTTCTAGATATCCTTGGCTTCTTTGGGAAGGCACAGGGATCTACCCACTGGAGGCCACTGGCCATCGTGGAGATGTGGCAGAAAAGCCTCCCCTGCATCGCACGCCATGTGCAGTGGGGGCTCCCGAACCCCGACCCCAGGTCAGGGCACTTCAGCCTCAGCCTGTCCACACCTGGCTTCAACACCTGCTTCCCCCAACCTTCTCCTTCCTCATGTTCTGTCTCAGCTGGTGTCCCCCATGCTAGAACCAGGAGGCCTTCCGGACTCCCCCTCACCCTCTGTACCCACCCCGTGTTTGTTTGGCCAGTTTTACCTCCTGAAAAACGTCCTGAACCCATTGCCCCTTGCCAGCCCTACGACCTCTCGGCCATTCTCAGCAGGTCTCTGCTCCCTGCCTTTGTGCACACGGTCTCCATGCCCTTGTCACCACACATGGGACCCGGAGATGAGCAGATCGCCCTTCCCAGTGCTGTGGTCACAACTTATGCACGTGGCACTTAGCACCGGATACCATCGGTGTCTGTGTAGGAGCGTGTATTCCCCACAAGTCATTAAAGCTCTGTGAAGACGATCTGTGCCTTATTCATCCCCAATATCCAGTCCAGGCCTGGCCATATAGGTACCGAGTGTTCCTTTCTCTTTCCGGCATGGGGCCTGCAGCATGCATCCTGATCTCCGGAAGGGTGAGCCGGCCCTCAGTCAGAGGCGTCAGGCTACACGGCAGTGGGCTGAGGGGTGGGTCTGGGTGAGGCGCTGGGCCCAGACTGAGCGATGAGCACAGTCTTAAATTTTTTTTTTTAACGTTTATTTATTTTTGAGACAGAGAGAGACAGAACATGAACGGGGGAGGGTCAGAGAGAGAGGGAGACACAGAATCTGAAACAGGCTCCAGGCTCTGAGCTGTCAGCACAGAGCCTGACATGGGGCTTGAACTCACGAACCGCGAGATTATGACCTGAGCTGAAGTCAGACGCTCAACCAACTGAGCCACCCAGGAGCCCCGAGCACAGTCTTATTCTACACTGTGTTCCTGATGCCTTTCCATTCTGGTCTCAACCACCATCAAGACAACATGGTACAGTAAAACCTTGGTTTGCGAGCATGATTCGTTCTGGAAACATGCTTATGATCCAAAGCACTTGTCTATCAAAGTGAATTTCAAGAACCATTGGCTCAGTTGGGATCATGTGACATTCCGCGTCATGCACTACTTGTATTGCAAGACATCGCTCCTTTATCAAGTTAAATTTATGAACAATGTTTGCTTGTCTCGTGGAACGGTTGCAGAGCAGGTTACTCGCAATCCAAGGTTTTATACTGTATTTAAAAAAGAAATGAGAGAGGGTCTCACTTTTGGAGACCATGCTCAAGGGAAGCCCTGTTTTAGCTCCCAGCTCTCTGGCTTCTTTTCTTTCCTAAATGGATCCTAAAGGAATATACGTGGTGTCTTACCATGCACAACTGTTTCCCTTCAAAATTCCATGTTCAGGGGCACCTGGGTGGCTCAGTCGGTTAAGCGAACAGACTCCTGGTTTCAGCTCAGGTCATGATCTCATGGTTCGTGAGTTCGAGCCTCATGTTGGGCTCTGTGCTGACAGCCCAGGGCCTGCCCAAGATTCTCTGTCTCCCTCTCTCTCTGCCCCTCCCCCTGCATGCACGCTCTCTCTAAGTAAATAAAGTTAAATAAATAAATAAAGTTACGTTCAGCTGCGGTCAAATCTGTTTGGTTCTGTGGTCACCAACAACTCTGTGTGGATTTCTACAGTTCCAAAATTTGTCGCCCCTACTCTCCCAGCATCCTTATTCCAGCCAAGGAGCTCTCCTCTCTGCTCTGGAAAGGCAGGTCCCCACTCATGGCATCTCTTCTCACTTGGCGACCGCTGGTGTCCCTGCACTGTCAGGGGGGCACTGCTCCCTCTACTGCACGGTCCATCCAGCTCAAGAGCCTGCTGGGTGCCAGGACCTTGCTGGTGTCTAAATGCTTATTATAGCATATAAATTCTATAGCACAAAGGACAGGAGCTTGCCACACACTACTTTTTGTAGTTCTTGCACAGATCTAACGTGTCTGTTGTCTCTCAGAGATAGTAAGGCAATGTCAGAGAGCAACGTATCGGGATTCAGGCAACCCCGATTCCAGTCTCATTCCTGGATCCACTGAGCTATACAACCTCGGGCATGGAGTCTAGCCTCATCTCTAAGTGAGAGAGTTGGAAAAAAAAAAAAAAAGGTTTCCCAGGTTCCTGTCTGGCTCTGATATTCTATGGCATAGCTTCCAAGGTCCACCCTGCTCTTCAGGACTGCTGGCCGGCCGGCAAGTGCTGCAAGTGCAAGGTTACCACCAAGGAGGATGAAACAAGCCGTTATCAATAAGCAATGGATCATCCTATCAAACTTCAGCTCCACGCCCTCTGTTCTTTAATATGCAACCCCTCAGGAGTAATTTTTTTTTTTAATTTTTTTTTTCAACGTTTATTTATTTTTGGGACAGAGAGAGACAGAGCATGAACGGGCGAGGGGCAGAGAGAGAGGGAGACACAGAATCGGAAACAGGCTCCAGGCTCTGAGCCATCAGCCCAGAGCCCGACGCGGGGCTCGAACTCACGGACCGCGAGATCGTGACCTGGCTGAAGTCGGACGCTTAACCGACTGCGCCACCCAGGCGCCCCAGGAGTAATTTTTTAAAAAAATTATTATTATTAATCTTCATTTTCTTCTGGCTTCAGGGAAAGTGATTAATGCCCAAGGCAACCATCCGGAACCCACATCTTCCCAGAGGAGAGGCTCAGCCGCCAAAGGCTTTGTTTGGGGGATTCTGACAATTTTTTCTTTTTTCTTTTTTTTTTTTTTACAGCTTTGTCTTTTCTTGTTCCCTCTCAGGTACCAGGCTGATAGATCAGGAAGGTAGGAATCTGTCAGTTTGTGATGGTGAGTGAATCCCATAACTAACCCCTCCAGGTTTTCTATCTGCTTCCAAGGAAAAAAACCAGCATTCTCTCCTCACTGTGGAGGTCAAGTGATCTGTGTGTCTCGAGTCACCCTAAATAGCTGCAAGCTATACACGGAGGTCTGTCAGAAGCAGGTTAAGTCCTCTCTTTCAGACCTGGGGCATACACAAGGTGAACAGCTTCCCTTGTGTGCAACGAAGTGCGTGGCTCATCTAATTTCATTATTATTTAGAATGAAACCCAAACGTTGCTTAACTGGTGGTTTCAAAAGCTTGGCTTTCCATAGGGCACTTGGGTGGCCCAGTCGGTTAAATGTCCGACTTCGGCTCAGGTCATGATCTCACGGTTCATGGGTTTGAGCCCTGTGTCAGGCTCTGTGCTGACAGCTCAGAGCCTAGAGACTGGAGCCTGCTTGGGATTTTGTGTCTCTGTTTCTCTCTGTCCCTCCCCTACTTGTGTTCTGTCTCTCTCTCAAAAATAAACAAACATTAAAAGAATTAAAAAAAAAAAAAAAAAGCTTGGCTTTCCAGCATCTGATTTCTGAAAAGGCTGTTGTAATAGAACAATGACCCTTCTAGGATGCTCACCCTTAATCTCCAGAATCTGTGAATATGTCACCCCACATGGCCAAAATGTGATTAAATTAAAGATCTTGAGATGGGGCTGTTATCCTGAAT